CAGAGCCATGCATCTTACACCAATTCCTCCTCCAGAAATAACAAAGAGATCCCATCTGTTTTCCCGGACTAACAGCAGTTCTCCTGGAGACTTTGAGGAGCTGGAAACTCTTCTGCAGATTCTCCTCAGAAGAGGAGGCAACCCAGGTCCTCATTTGTGACAATCTCTGTGTGCTCTCACAATGCAGATATGGTACATCAACAATTAATAAATTGCTCCTCGAGTTCATCAAGACAAAAAAAAAAAAATTACATGTTCAGAATTGACTTTTCCCTGACAGACTAATGGCAAACTCAAAGAACTGCTGTGGGGCAAAGCACCAGGCTCTCTTTAACTTCTTGGTGCCACTCCTTTCCAGTCTTTTCCCATCCGAAATCCCACCTCCTTTCAACCTAAATGTCACATCAGATTTTCAGAGGAAAGGCTGACACGCTGTTCTTAGTTCTGTCAGATGAATTCACAACAAATCCAGCTTTGCTCTCTAAGTCTTCAGCAACATCGGGCGGCCTTTTGAGAAATGCACATTTGCCAAATTTCAGAGATCATTTTGCATCCTCAAAACCAAGCAGGCTGTAAAATTACCCAGCCACAGCCACTCTGATGATTTTTTGGTTTTAAGCATGCACTTATCTGAACACGAGATGGTGAACTGCACAAGTGCGATGCCCAACAACAGGCTGGGTTTGCAAAGCCCCAGTTGAGTGTTTAAACCCCCTGGGATGTGGAAATGACTCTACAGAGGCGAGAACTGAAGGGCTGGGACTTCACAAAAGCACTCAGGGAGAGGGTGATCCCACCCATACCGTGCATTGCCGTCGTATCCAGCGAAGATCCACAGCTTGTCACTGTACACGGTGGCACCGTGAGCTGACCTGGCCACGGGCAACCTGCAAGGGAGAAAACACAGACAAAAAATGTTATCTCAGCTGCAGAGGGGCTGTAGAGGGGTCTGTGTCACAGCTACAATGCAACTGTAAGAAGGAGAAGGAAGTCTCCTACACAAAATTGCTTCTGCCATCCACCCTCTAAACACTGAGCCTCTGAGGGGGCTCATGTTAGTCCTGCACTCTGCTGCCTTCACTGGAGAGAAACCACCTTATAAACAAAAAAATCCCAACTAATTCCTTGCCTGGACTCAAATATTCTCAAGAGTATCTTATGGCAAGCAGTTAAATAACGGGATAATTCACAGCACTGCTGGTACAGGAAGGTGGCAATCCCCACCAGCTCTTACCTTCCCTCAGTCTTCCACTCTGTCCACTGTCCAGTTGCAAACTTATATTCAAAGAGATCATTTTTATTCTTCAGGTTGGAATTGGAATAAATGTCTCCAGTGTAACCACCTGGGCAACAAGGATTTCATTAGACTCCAAGGCAGTGCAGCACACACACTCCAGGGCACTGCATTAGGAGAAACTTTAGATTGCACAAAGAGCAGTTATCTGGTATCTAACTGCTACAGGTGAGAGACTTCTCCTCCACATCTCTTCCTACAGAATCACTGAGGTAACGAGTTTCAAGTCCTCTTTACTTTAAACAAAACAGCAAAAGTATTTCCAAGCTAAAACCGAAATCCCATTTGCTGCTGAACGAGATCTTTCTGACGCTTCCCAAAAATCCCCCGCTCTTTCTCCAAACCAACACAGCAGCACATTTACCCCTCCAAGCACAGCTGTGACCTGCTGCTGCCTTACCAAACACGAACATGCTGCTCCCGTAGACCACGGCAGAGTGGTGGTACCGCGGTGCCGGCGGGGTGCCCGTCGTGAAAGCCCTGCACGAGTCAGAACAGCAGCAGTCAAACACCCTGGTCGTGCTTCAGGCACTCAAAGCTACTGCTCACATTCAGAAAAAAAAACATCCAGTTGTTAGAAGCTATTCTGCTGTTCCTGAGTGTTTCACCAGTTTTGGATTCTCGGCTACGCTATGATTTTATGGCACAGTGCTGCAGCACAGGTGATTACAAACACGCTGCTGCTGAAATCTGTTTGGCAGAGCTGGAAAATGGGGCACAGGTGAGACAAGACAGACTACCCAGCCCAGAGGAAAGGAGGCAAGACAGGTATGAGCCTCCCTCAGCACCTTCCCTGCCCCGAGGGGTGCAGCAGCCCGGTCCCTCTGCCCTCCCACAGGAGGAACAGAGGTGACCCCCGCTGGGAGGGATCAGCTGTGACAGCGCTGGCCGGGGGATGACACTTCCCTCAGACGCTCTGGTAGAGCCACAGACTTTTACAGCCGGATTGGAGGCGCCGCGGCGTGTCCCAGCCCTGCCAGCGCCCGGGGGGCTGCGCTGCCCACCTGCACCACGAGCAGTCCTTCACGTCGAAGCGCAGCAGGTCGTTCAGCATCGTTTTCCTGCGGGGAGGGACGGGAGAGGCGGTTGAGCCGGGCCGGGGGTCGGACAGGGATGGCCACAGACCCTCAGCCCGGACCCCCTCACATCCATCTCCCCTCGCACCCCTCTCCCCTCAGCCCCGGCCGTGCTCCCCCCGTCCCCGGCCCTCCTTACCCGTTGTCCCCGCCGAACACGTAGATCGCATCCCGGTAAGCCACCACGGTGTGTTTGCTGCGCCTGCGGGCGGCACGGACGGGTCAGCAGGGCCAGGACCCCCCTCCCCGCCATCCCTCCCGCTCCCCCCGCGGCTCACCGGGCCCCCACGAACTCGTCGCAGGGCGGGAGGCGGCGCCAGCGGTGCACGGTCTCGAAGGGCCCGAAGTTGAGGGTGAGGTACTCGACGCTGTCCGAGCAGCTGTGGTCGAAGTCCACGCTCGGCGCCACCTTCGAGCGCCCCGCGCCGCCCGCCGGGGCCGCGGCCGCCGCCATGGCCCGCGCCTGCCCCGCGGGACTACAGCTCCCGGCGTGCCCCGCGAGAGCGGCTTCCGGCGCGCCAGCACCTCATCGCCGGACTACAACTCCCGGCGTGCCCCGCGGCAGGGGGGGTTCGGCCTGGCCGCTGCCCGACCCTGGACTACAACCCCCAGCATGCACCGCTCGGGGGGGGGGGAGGGAAGAGGCGCTGAGGAGCTGAAGGTCACGGGTTCGAGGCCCGCGGTGGTCGCGGCGGCTCCGCCAAGGACGAGGATCCAAGCGGGATTATACGCAAAGAGTTTTATTTGTTAATACAAAACCCCCCAAACAAACCGAGAACAATAGTCATGCATACGCCAAGAACACCCAGCAGAGGGTGAGTTCCCTGGGGACAGGACCAGCTCCAGGGCTGGTCCCACAAAGCCACTGATCCCCCCCTTCTCACACTCCCGGAAAAACCACTGATAGCTGCAAATCAAAGCAGCTTCTCCAAACACACCGAGTCCAGCAGGAACATGACTCTGGCCCAGTCATCTTCTGGACCTCACAATCACACAGACACCCCTGGATGTCTCAGTTCAGTGTCAGTACTACTGTGTCAGTCTCATTCTTCATGGTCTTGTTTAAACCCACCCTCTGACCTGACTAAAGCCCCTTTGAGGCACAGGACAGCTCCAGCTCCAGCTCCCACTGGAGCAAACCAGCCTTCAATGCGCTCTGTTTACTCCTGACACCCTGAAACACACTTTGATGCTTCCAGGTGTCTGGCACTCACTTACCTCCAGCTTCTCAGGGGGTTTCCAAGAGAGACTGCACTGTTCAGTTTACCTTTTTCCCTTTTAAGTGAAAGCTGAAAGAGACAAAGGCCCGGGAACAAAACTCCTAATGGACTCCTAATGGTATGACAGGAGGACCAGGGCACCAGTTTAATTATAGATATTCTTATAGACCAGAGAATCCACAAGGAAGAAAGACACTGCGACACAACCGCATGGAAAGAGCTTGTACCTTATTAGACACATAAAAATCAGGCTTCAAACTCTGCTTCTCAGAAAGTTAGTCAGGCACACAAAATATGAGAACTTGAGGACGGCTCAGAGGAGTGTCCAGGGAATGGGGGATCCCCCTCCAGCTCTGCCCATTCCAGGGCACAACACGAGACCAGCAAGACACAGAACGACTCCAGTTTATGGAGGTTTTGATACAACGTCGAAGCAAATAATTCCACAGAGGAACAGCAAGTGCCTTTCCTAAGAAAGGAAACTCTACAATGGCTCAGCTTGTTGTTTTTAGATGTATCCAGCACAGGACTCCCTTTCTGTTCAGGTGGCTCCTAACATCCTCCAGGCAGCACGTACAGAAAGCGTCCTAAGGAGAAATTTGTCTTTTTAAAAAGTGACTTCAGGAAACAAGCGCAAGTTCCTTTTAAATCTGTTTTATAAGAAGGATACCAATGTACATTTTAATAGTTTTATTTTCACTTTCCCCCAGAAGGGAACCAAAGGCAGAGAGGTGTTGTGAGATACATCACGCTGTTCTCATGGGGAAATCAATTTGCAAATGTTATTATTTTTACCACTCTGTAAGAATACACACAGGAGCGTGAAAGAAGAAGAGGAGTTCAGAGTGGCTGTCACGGAGAAAATACGTTAAATACAATCAGTTATTTTTTTTTTTTCCCCCTAAAAACCGTGGCTCCTTTTGTTCCAGAAAACCAGTCTTTCGTAGCCACGTGCCACAGGAACAGGAATTTAAGTGGTGGCTTCCTCTGAGCACGTGCACACACAAGTGTCAGCACAGAACTGCTCCCGTGGGAGTGGACAGCAGATGTGAGCGACAGAGCCCCATCCACACCAGGAGAGAAGATGTGCCCTCGGGTTTATTGTCTCAGCTTCCCCTCCAAACTCCCATGAACAGGCTCCATCCCGTCCAGGCAGCTCTGATCAGAGTCTGTGGTTCTATAAAAGAAGTCATGTTGTAGGATCAAGATTTTTACCCTGTGTTACGTGAGTGCCAAGTGGAACAACCTTCCCACTACTCAAGGTACATCCAAGCAATCCGTAAGCGGCCCAGTTCCTTTCTCTGTCCAACTGTGCTGTGGAAAATTCATTTAAGTGCCTCTTCACAGGCAGAGACAGTTTGCTTTTAAAAATATTAAGGACACCTTTTTTTTTTTTTTTTTTTTTTGTCCTTTATCTTTAAGAACTTCCTGGAAAGTTACTGTGGAAAATGAAAGTGCTCCCATGGTGAGACGGATGTGCAACGTCCTTGCTGCTTTCTCGGGATCCCCTCCCTCAGCAGACTCGTGTTAAGATGAGGCTCAAATACATCACGAGGCCGTGGTCCACCTGGAACGGGCAGGCAGACACTGGAAAATGTTTTATGTTCAATCATAAAACGTGGAATTAGCCAAAGGTAACCTGTTGTGCAGATCTGATGGGTCTGGTCTCCGGAGTGGGTCTAAATCCCAATGGCCTGAAGCACTCGCTTCTCGTTGTCGTTGAGGTGGTCGGAGAACATGGCATAGCAGGGCTGCTGGGCAAACTGGCACAGGAATTCGGTGAGATAGGCCTGGAAGGGACACAAAACACCTGCTCAGCACCAGCTCTTCCTGGAAATCCTGCTGCTTCCATGTGTCAGAAGGGATATCTCAACATACCCCAAGTAAGAGCCTGGGATTGAAAGGAAGAGAGGAGAAATGCAAGAGGAGGAGGAGGGGAAGCTGAGGGAAGGATGGGAGCAGAGGGAAGGGTGGGAGCAGAGGGAAGGGCTAATCAACAGCTGCAGGTGGTGGGAAAAGCAAGAGTAAAGTGTCACCCAAGGGTGAGAGCACCTCCAAGTGGAGTATGAAATTCTGTCATGGTCACCCTCCAATCTACTCCTGACATCTGCAAGCAGCTGTGAAGCTCACGGGTAGAAAAGTCTTATCTCCCTCTGTTCAAAGACTTTTGTCCATTTACCTTTATAAGTTATAGACACTGATCGTATGGAAAAATAGCTCCAGAAATTTTTGGAATACTCCACCCTTTCCAAAAAAATTTAAATTATCTGCATCCTTTTTGGGGTTACAATCAATAGCTGATGTTTCCAGTGCTTACAGATTTGTTAAAACACAACATTAAAAAAATTAAAGTTTATGAAGAATAACGAGAATCTGACAAAACCCCTCATTCTAGAGCATCACCTGGAGATCTATTTGGTAAAGAGGGTCCTTTAATGCATCTGGATCATCCTCTTCATCATCTTCATAGTAATCGTCATCTGTCAGAGGCAAATCAGCAGGTTTTAACATCAAACAAAGCAAAACATCTCAGAAAGTTTTCTATTGAACAACTGAAACCCAAGGATCCCAAAGTAAATAGTTTTGGCACTGCTGGGGAAAAAAAAATTGTATCCCAAATATTCACTCCTTTAGATCATGGGGCAGAAACCTCTGAAGCCCCAGGTGATGTTATTTATTGTGCACTGATTTAATCACTGTGTTACTGTCCAGAAGGTCCTTATTCCCAATCCCAGAGCAGAATTCCTTGCCTGTGCCTGCAGCCTCTGTTCTGCTGCTGGCAAGGGAAGGAAACTCTGCAGTGGTGTCACCTACTCCATTTTTGCTCTGAGTAAGGACTTTAAAGCTGCTACTCACCATACTTGTTTGTGGAAAGAATATCTGATAGGAACTGTCCTGCTAAGCCTTCATCTTCATCCTCGTCCTCTTCCTGATCCTCCCACATATCATTTGAATCATCTGTTTAGGAAAAACAATATTCCAGAAATAACACAAAATCCAAGAGGCCCAGCCTGTGATCACTCTCCAGGGGACTGGAGTCTGTAGGAAAAAACATCCCTGCACGTGTGAGTGGACAAAGGGAAACACCTGCAAACATCCCTTTTCTTCTGGAATGATTCCAGAACCAGAGCCAAGCAAAAAGCAGCAGCAAGGATGGATGTTTGAGGCAGGGAGGAAGAAAGGCAAACCAGCTACACCACAAAAGGATAATTTTACTGGCATATGGTCAGATCCCATCTTCCAAACTAGCCCAATATAATTTTCAGGTCTAAGGATACACAACAGTGACTGGTTTTATTCTCCCATTTTATTTATTTTTACCTGGAAGAGACTGACAGCACTTAAAATATGGCACAGGGAAGGAAGAGCTGTTGTGCTGGAAGCTGCTAATGATGATCTGTACAACAAGACAAGGGAGCTGGAGAGGGACTTTGGACAAGGCATGGAATGACAGGACAAGGGGGAATGGCTTCCCATTGCCAGAGGACAGGGCTAGATGGGATATTGGGAAGAAACTCTCCCCTGTGAGGGTGGGCAGGCCCTGGCACAGGTTGCCCAGAGAAGCTGCGGCTGCCCCTGGATCCCTGGAAGTGTCCAAGGCCAGGTTGGATGGGGCTCGGAGCAACCTGGGCTGGTGGAAGGTGTCCCTGCCCATGGCAGAGGGTGGGATAAGATGGTCTTTAAGGTCTCTTCCGACCCAAACCAGTCTGGGATTCTCTGAGCTTTCCCTTTGGATCACTATTCAAGCCTATGTAATCACAGGCACACCATTTACTGCTGTGAATTTCTTGTGACTATAGAATGCTTCTCAAGAGAAGACAAAGTAGATTTCAGCCCCGGAAAGACAAAAAGCAAACCCAGTATTTTACCTTGGCTCCAATCTGCAGTTGTCTGTCTAGATGCATTTGCTTCCATTGCATTAGAGAGTTCATTTATTATTAATTTTAAGATTTTTACTAACAAAGGAATGTTTGTCCAGCGCTCAGGATCTGTAAGAAAAAAAATTATATATATATTCAAGCTGCTTTTAATAAAATGTTGTAAAAACACACCTTTTTTTTTGTTGTTGTTGTTGGAGTGGGTTTTAACTTCTTTGGGAGGCTGGGAATTAAAAACAACTGACACATAACCCTCCAAGCATTCTTTCCATACACCCTCACAGCCACATTCCCAAAGATCTCAACCACAACGTCAGTCTTGCATATTCTGAGTGCAGAGAAGGCAGGGGGAGAACCTTCCCAGCTGAATGGATGTGTGACTCTGCTCCTGCAGGCTGCTTGATGGAGTCATC